AAAGGAGGGGGGGGCGGGGCAAGGCAAAGCAGGGGGAGAGATAAAAGCAGAGGAGGGCGAGAAAGAAGCGAAGGAAGCAACGGAAGGAAGCCAGGATGCGCGCATGCGAAGCTAACGCTGCGCGCCGAGACACTTGTTCGTTCGTTCGATTGGCCGTGCGGCTGATGAATAGAAAAAGAATTGTTTGCTGCCTTTCGAAGGGTCTTGGGAATGGGAGTCGCGCTCTCTTCCCGGCCCCCTTTTTCACCCCGTTGCGAGCGCTAAACGCCGACGCCACCCCGATCCCCGCATCCGTGCCAGGCGCCCTCTTAACGACGCCCCTTTCCGGTGTAAAACCAATAAAAACCCTTTGTACCTATATGTGTTTTTTCTGTTCTGATAAACGACGGCCGCAGCGAGGCGCCGCTGCGGTGGAGCGAGGGGGCGAGGCCGATGGCGGCGCTCGGGGCGCCCGCCGCAACGTTCAACGCGCCCCCCCAATCGCCCAACCCTTCCCCTTCCCCGCGGCCGCGCGGGGCGCGGCGGCACCAGAGCACCCCGCTCGGCAGGGCCGGGGCGTTCGGGGGGGGCCGTGCGGTTTTTCCTATAATCAGGGCGGAGGCAGACGCCGTCGCTTTCGAACGCATCCTCGTTACATAATATCAAACACGCCATTCCTTGAGGAGCCGCCCGGCGCCCGCCCGGGGCCCCATCGGCCGCGGGGGCCGAATGCCTCTCGAATCGAACCGAGCCCCCCCGTCGAGCGCTTCTTGGCCCGGGCGCCGCGATGGAAGAGCGGGGGCCCCTTCGACTGTCTGGGCACGGGAAAGAAAGATGACCGGGCAAAGCGCCCAGGCAGTGCCCCCCCGCAATGGGCGGCCAATGCTCGCGCGGACAAATCGGGTGAAACGCGAGGCCGGCCATCCTCGCCCATCGCCTCGCCCCCCGCAGTCCAGCGCGCCGCCCCGTCGACGGCCATCCACGGTTGAAGAGGCAGAACCTCGACTTTTACCCGCCTCGACGCGCGGCCGGCCGCCCCGGGGCCAGCCTCGGGCCGATGATTGTTCAGTGGGCCCGGTTTTGATTTGATCCCGACGTCGACGTCGAGGCGGGCGCAGGGGGCCAGCGAAGCGCCCGCGGAAGATGCCGCCGCTGCCCCGCCCACCCGCGATGCGCCGTGAACGCGAAGCGCAGCTGCGCCGCATTGTTCGCTGCCTGTCTGTGTCTGAGCGAAGTGCCGAACCCGTCTGCCGCCGCGCCAGAAATCGTCTTCGCGCGTCCGAGCTTGTCCGACGGGGTCCGTTGGGAGCGCGCTCCCTTCTTGCTGCGCAGAGGCCTTCTCCCGATGCGCTGGCCCCCGAGCTTGGGCGGGGCAGCGGCCGCCGCCGCCGCGGGGGCGCGGTCCGACGAGGTCCGAGTGAAAATGCGCGCATGCAGCAGCGACGGCTGATTCCACCCCATCAGCGGCGCCACAAGCGGGGGACGCGTGGATTCTGCCCAGCCTCGAAGGGCCCCTGGTCGCCCCGCCGGCCATGTCCACGCGCGTCGCTCACGTCGCGAATCGTACAATTGCTAGGAAGCGCCGCGCCGCGGCCTACCCCCAGGTCCGAATTCGCCATCGGGCGGGGCCCTCCCATCCTCCATCGGGGCAGCATTCCAATCGCCCGCGATGAGAATGACGCTGCGGCAGGAGGAAGACCCGCAACGATCTGCAGAGGGCCACGCTTACACGCGCTCGCAGGGCGACGCCCGTCGGGCAAGCGGGCGATTACAACGGCCGCGTCGCCCCTCGCCAGGTCAGCTCACTGCAGTGATACTGCCCGTCTCAATTTTCGCGGGTGCGATGCCATGGAACTGACCAGAGAGCTCATCAAAGAGATGCGCGACAACCTCTCCGGCACCCCGATCGCCCATGCAAGCCCCGTAGAGGGTGCCCGTGTGGAGCTCATCAGAGACTCGCCATGGCGGCTCGCGGCCCGCGGTTCCCCAGGAAGCAGGCGGCCCGGCGCCGCCCGGGAAACTTCCTAGCCTTCCGACAGCGCAAACTTGTTCCACGTGTAGAGATAGCGAGAGACTGAACACTAAAGCAAAACACGTAACAACAAACTGTTAAAAGGGCGCAGATTCGAAGGGCGGTGGATTTCAACAGCCGCCACAGCCATGAAGAGGATAACCTCGCGATACGGCGTCGCTCGAATAAGTCCGAGTCTGGGGCCCAATCGAACCCTCGGATGCAGAGGAACCTGCGCTCCTCCCGTCAGACCCAAAAACGCCCGAGCTGCTACTGCATTCGCCTGAAGGGCAGATCTCTCCAACCTCCCCCAACTTTCTCATGGCCCTCCGAAGCGATGAGACCGCGCGCACTCCCTGCCGCGGAGCCATCATCCGCAACCGAAGCCATGACAACATGCACCGGGGTGGAGCCCTTCCTCAAGATGCGAAGAGCACGCCCGAGTCTCGTCGAGCCGACTTCGCCGCGACCAGAGGTACCCGCCACAGGCCGACCCGCCACAGGCAAAAAGGAAAATCCAAAGGGTCTGCGTGAGATCACGCCGCGCACGGAGGTCAAGGTCTGATCCACCCTCAGGGTTCGAGAACGGGAAGGGGCCCTCCGACAACGCTTTCGGATGAATCGTCGCAATCCCCAATGCGCTGGGGATGCCAAAAAAAACTGCTTGTAGCTGAGAGAAGTGATCCGCTGTCTGCTTTGCCAGGTCATCATGGACCCTCTGGAGAGCATGGTAATTCGTCTCAGATTGTATCATCTGCACCTGGATCACCGAGAACTGCAAATTGATATCACATGCACCGCGGTCGGGCTGAGTCGTCGGAGAATCAACTGCTGTCGACGCCGCCACATGCTCATGGCAGCACCTGGGGGCAAGGTGCCAGCAGCTCCCCCCGCTTGCGCCGCCGTCACCTCCAGCCCGCGACTTAACCTCCTGACGCGGCCACGGCATGGCCTGGCGCGACGCTTCCACGGCGAGAGGGGGGGTGGGGGGGCATAGGCGCCGAGGGGGAACCGCCGCCGAGGGCCAGGAGGCTCGGCCGCGGCCCGCCCATGGGGCCTGGACGCCGGGCGACTCGAGAGAAGTTGGGAAGTTTGGGAGCGAGACCCGTTGAGCCAAATTGGCTATGGAGGAGGAGGAGGCGGAGGAGGAAGAGGAGGAGGACGAGAAGGAGGAGGAGGAGGAGGGCCCTGATTACGCGGGCAGCGCCAGCTGCCCCGGCCACGCGGGGCGACGCCCGCCCTCGTCACTCAAAGGGGAGTTTGACCTGCCCGGGCGGGAGCAAAAAAGCGGGCGCGAGCGGCCACCGGTGGCCAAGCGAGCCCCGACAGGCCGAGAGGGGCACCGCGGGCCCCCAACGAGAGGCGGCGCGGCGCCCAGGAAAACAAAAAAAACAAGAGCCGTGCATTCAGGGCCCCCGATAGGGCCCCGAACACAAGGAGACAGGCAGGCCAAACCCTCCCCCAGGAGAACCAGGAAGGCGTTCACCTGCTATCCGCCCTCGGTGGCGGCCTCTTCCTTGGAGTACTGGTCGGCAACTTTCCCAACCTGAATTTTGTCCGTCTTGTCCTTATTGTCCTTATGTTTCGTCTTGCTCTTCCTCTCCGTAACCGAGTTCCTGTCGACCTGCGGCTCCGCGATCACAACTCGCGAGTCCAACGATTCGCCTTCATCTTCGCTTCCGATGTGGTACCGCTCCACGTCGACACTCTCTTGTTTCTGCAGGAATTGCTTCGCCCAGCGTGCCCACCGAGTGCACGCTGTCCCCGATGTAGAACTGCTGAGGTGGCCCAGCGACTTGTCCGTCTTCATCTCCTCCTTGACGCGCTGCTGCACGAGCACAGGCTGTGACGCTGGTAGGTTGCACGCCATGCGCTTCGAGCGGGATCCGAAGATGTTTTGATCTTGAGGTCGGGCTTCTTGGCCTCCGTCGCGCACTGCTTGGGCAGGTCCTCCACCCGACTCGGTCCCTTCTCGAAGTACTGGTCGTCCCTGATCCTCACCTTGGCCTCGAAGAGCTTCCTCGCCAGCACCCTGCCCATGCGGATGTCCAACTTCGGTTTGCGCTTGATGACCTTCAGCTTGTTCAAGCCCTCCACGAACTGCTTCTGGAACTTGCTGCGGGATCTCATCTTCTGTCCCGGCCGCTGCACGCGAGGCCCGGCCGGGAGTACCTTCATCCCACTGGGGTCCACCTGGAACCAAAGGCCGTGGGAGTCCTGATGCCAGCCCTCCTCGTGGTAAACTGTCAGAAGTCGCGCCAGCATCGACGGCGTTCGAGCAGGGGAACGAGGCCTCAGCGACTGCTTGGACTCCACCCTCTGCTGCGTCACATGCTCGATCACCTGCCCCTTCGTCTCGAGCAGCCTGCCAGCCAGCCCGTAGCCCAGGGACAGCCGTAGCAGCTGATGGGCAGGCACCTTCGGAGGGGCGAACGACCTCGCCTTCGAGACCGCCATGCAGTGGCAGAAGCGGCCCGCAAACCAAAATGTCGAGGTCTCCCTTGCCCTCCAGGATGTCCACCAAGCGAGCGAGCGCAGCAGGCCCGCCTCCGCACATGTGGTCCACTCTGATGCAGATCTGGATCATGGCTGCGCCCCCATGGCGCGCGGCCCGCGCAGGCAACGCCGCTCCCAATCGCGCCTGCGCACCGCGAGGGTATCCCGAAGGGAACGGCTAGGGAAAGGAGGAGGAGGAGGAGGAGGAGGAGGAGGAGGAGGAGGAGGAGGAGGGGGAGGAGGAGGAGGAGGAGGAGGAGGAGGAGGAGGAGGAGGAGGATGGAGTTAGTGAGGACCAAAAAAAAAACCAAGGAGGGATGGCTGCTAGTATGTCGATCGGAGGACCTAGTCGCGCACTTCAGCTACGGCTTCTGCGCTCGAGGAGCGACCACCGTGTGGAGGAGAAATGGGTCCCCCGCGCTCCGCACACAGAGCTGTTACGGACGGCGCAACGGTGTACACCCCGCCTTTCAGGTCATCTCGTCTGTCAACAGAAAATCCCGAAGGAGTCCTCCAGGCCGTAGGCGGACAGATGTTACCCGTACAAGTAGATGCGGCCGCAGTTCTTCTCGACTCCCGACACGACATAGATTCAGTCTGGCCAGGCCTGAAGCCACCCCGCGCAAAGACGTGGAAGCAAATCTCGAGGAATGCATTACGTCGACATCAGTAGATCAGGCCCCCCGTATGTCAGCAACAGACATCGCACCACAACTCTTCATGAGGTCTCTCCCAGTTCTCGGCGCATCAAGGTCTATCCCTCTATATCGTCGCCTTGCAAGAAGGTCAGCAGGACACGGCCGGGCTGGATCATGGGCGCCACCCAGTCCTTCACAGTCGCCCCGAGCTTCTCGCAGCAGGAGGAGGGGGAGGAGGAGGAGGAGGAGGAGGAGGAGGAGGAGGAGGAGGAGGAGGAGGAGACGGAGGAGGAGGAGGCGGAGACGACCGCTGACAAGGTGAGTCTCCTCAACCCTCAGAAGACATGGGAGACTGCGCCTGAACTTTCCGCGGCGGCGGTGGGGCGCGGGCGAGGGCCCGTGTGTGATGAGCTTGCCAGAGTTGGAGGAACGGGGTGCCAAACGGCGGCAAGGAGGAGGAAATAGGCAGGATGGATGGAAGTGGGTACGGGTTGAGGCAGGAAAGGCCCGACTGCCCCGCGCTTAGTCGGCATTGAAAGATTGAGCCCGCGGCCACCCCGCACTCAGGGTTACTACTACTACTACTACTACTACTACTACTACTACTACTACTACTACTACTACTACTACTACTACTACTACTGATAAATAATAAGCAACATCATAATAATAACAACCCTACTCGCCAACATCATCATCATACTTATCATCATCATCATCATCATCATCATCATCATCATCATCATCATCATCATCATCATCATCCGTAGCCGTTTTGGCTCAAGGACTCAAGCGACTCAAGCTCAAACGACTCAAGCGACCGCGACTCAAGCGGCGTGGCAGCGGTGCCCCGGTCTCAAGCGACCGCATTTTACGAACACGGCCCGCTTTACGGTATTATCCCTTATCCCTTCGAATCCCCTGGTCAGAACGCGCCCCGCAGACCTCCTGGGCCTCTTCTTCTCGCGGCTACATCTACGGCTACATGCCCCGGTCGCCAGCCCCCTCCTCCTCCTGCCCCGTGGGGGGAGGAGGCGACGACGATGACGACGACGACGACGACGACGTCGTCGGGGGGGGCAGGGCAGAGGAGGGAGGAGGGGGGGGACGCTGGCCCTACCCATAGGCGTCGGGAGGCTCATGATTTCATCATGGCTGGCGATGGCCCGTCGCCTTCCCCCCCCCTGCTTGTTGCTGTCTTCTATGACGGGGCGCTGATTATCATTAAACCCTATCGATTAGCTATTTCTTCTTGGGTTTCGGGGGAAATTCGAGGGTTACCTTCGAATTTCCAAAGAATCTCAATACGTTCTGAAACAAAATTTAATTCAATATTATTCTTCTGGGGCTGGCCTGGGGCTTGAAATTACAAGGTAACCCTGAAATTTCCGAAGAAGAATAAAAACTTCAAATTATTATTCATGGCGTGCGCGGTCCTGCTGCTTTAGCATGGAGGGTGAATTTGAAGCGCGCAACGTAAATTATTCTTGGCTGGGCGGGTGGCAAGGAGGGTTTCCTTGAATTTGCCGGCGGGGGACAGCCTATCGGGGGAAGCTTATGGAAGCCTGTGAAGGGCGGCCTGCGAGGGGCAGACTCTGGGAATCCTTGAGGATCCCTTGGGAATCCCTAAGGAATTTCTAAGGAATCCTTACGAATCCCTAGGGCATCCACAAGAATCCCAAGAGAATCCTAAGGAATCCCGAGGGCATCCCTAGGAATCCCTAGGGAATCCTTAGGAATCCTTAAGGGCTCCTCAAGAATCCTAAGGGAATCCTGAGGGATCCCTTGGGAATCGTCAGGAATCCCTAAGGAATCCTTTGGAATCCCTAACGTGTCGTTAAGAATCCCCGCGGACTCCAGAAACCCTCGGGAATCCTTATGGCCCCCTCGGGAATCAAAGAGAATCCCTGCGGAATCCTTGGGATTCAAAGCGGAATCTGCAAGAGTCCCTCGGGAATCCTGAGGAATCTTTCGGCGCCCCCAAAGAATCCCTTCGGAAATCCTCAGGAATCCTTCGGGGGTCCTGCGGGGTCCTCAGGGAATCTTCTTTCAGATTCCCTCGGGGCTTCTTAAGAAGCCCTGGTGAATCCCCAAGAATCCCTAGGGCACCCTAAGGAACCCCAAGGGGAACCTCAGGAATCCCTAGGACATGGCCGGGCGTCTTCCGAGGAATCCAGATGACTGCCACCTTGGACGTTTTCCACGCCGCATGCACACCAGGTGACCCACGAAGGGGTGGGTCACCAGAACACTGGTTGAGAGAAACAAATTGCTTCACCTGCATCCTGGGCCTCGTCATGAGGCGGCGCACTGCCACTCAATATGTTTGCCATGCGGCGCAAGCACACCAGGTGACCCACGAAAGGGGTGGGTCACCAGAGAACTGGTTGGGAAAAACCAATGGTCTCACTTGCATTCTGGGCCTCAACATGAGGCGAAACATTGCCACTCAATACGTTTGCCGTACGGCGCAAGCACACCTGGTGACCCACGAAAGGGGTGGGTCGCCAAAAAACAAATGGTTTCACCTGCATTCTGGGCCTCAACATGAGGCGACGCACTGCCACTCAATGCGTTTTCGATACGGCGCAAGCACACCAGGTGACCCACGAATGGGTGGGTCAACAGGAAACTGGTTGAGAAAAACAATTGTTTCACTTGCATTCTGGGCCTCAACATGAGGCGACGCACTGCCACTCAATGCGTTTTACATACGGCGCAAGCACACCAGGTGACCCACGAAGGGGTGGGTCACCAGAAAACTGATGAAAACCAATTGTTTCACTTGCATTCTGGGCCTCAACATGAGGCGATGCACTGCCACTCAATACGTTTCCCATGCGGCGCAAGCACACCAGGTGACCCACGAAAGGGGTGGGTCACCAAAAATCTTGTTGAGAAAAACCCATTTGCCACTGAATGCGTTTTCCATACGGCGCAAGCACACCAGATGACCCACGAAGGGGTGGGTCACCAGACAACTGGTTGAGAAAAACCAACTGTTTCACTTGCATTCTGGGCCTCAACATGATGAGGCGATGCACTGCCACTCAATACGTTTTCCATACGGCGCAAGCAAACCGGGTGACCCACCAAGGGGTGGGCCACCAGACAACTGGCTGAGAAAAACAATTAGTTGCACTTGCATTCTGGGCCTCAACATGAGGCGATGCATTGCCACTCAATACGTTTCCCATACGGCGCAAGCACACCAGGGGACCCACGAAGGGGTGGGTCATCAGAGAACTTGTTGGGACAAAAACAAATTTGTTTCACCTGCATCCTGGGCCTCGTCATGAGGCGACGCACTGCCACTCTGTATGTTTGCCATACGGCGCAAGCACACCAGGTGACCCACGAAGGGGCGGGTCACAAGACAGCTGGTTGAGAACAACCAGCTGTTTCACTTGCATTCTGGGCCTCAACATGAGGCGAGGCATTGCCACTCAATACGTTTGCCATGCGGCGCAAGCCCACCGGGTGACCCACGGAGGGGTGGGTCACTCGAAAATTGGTTGAGAAAAACCAACTGTTTCACTTGCATTCTGGGCCTCAACATGAGGCGACGCACTGCCACTCAATGCGTTTTCGCTACGGCGCGAGCACACCAGGTGACCCACGGAGGGGTGGGTCACCAGACAAGTGGTTGAGAAAAACAATTTGTTTCACTTGCATTCTGGGCCTCAACATGAGGCGAGGCATTACCACTCAATACGTTTCCAGGCGGCGCAAGCACGCCAGGTGACCCACGAAGGGGTGGGTGACTAGAAAACTGGTTGAGAAAAACAAATGGTTTCACTTGCGTTCTGGGCCTCATCATGAGGCGATGCATTGCCACTCAATGCGTTTCCCATACGGCGCAAGCACACCGGGTGACCCACGAAGGGGTGGGTCACCAGAAAACTGGTTGAGAAAAAACCCACTTGCATTCTGGGCCTCAACATGAGGCGACGCATTGCCACTCAATGCGTTTTCCATGCAGCGCAAACACACCAGGTGACCCACGAAGAGGTGGGTCACCAGAGAACTGGTTGAGAAAAACAAAA